AAAGGGGGATGCAGAGGGGGTAACTGACAGCGGGGCTGTTGGTAGCTATCCCGCGTGCGTGCTGTGTGCGTGCTGCAGGATCCCCGTAGGGGGGCCCCAGCCTGGGGGGCAGGAGCGTCCCGGGGGATCAGGGAGAAGCACCCTGGAGCTGGATCCAGGAGGCCGACTAAGAGGTGGGGAAGGGGATGCCCGGAGAAGCAGGGGGCGTGGCACGGGACAGGTGGGATCGAGGGTTCCCTGTATGGGAGTCTGGCTCTTGGTGACTGTTTGGCTCTGGGGTACAGGATTCAGTGCTTCTGCCATTTAATGAATGAATGTTCCACAAGGTTTTTGGCATTTATTCATTCATTGAACAAAAATGATCGTGCACTTCCTCTGTGCCAGGCACTGCTCTGGATGCTAGAAATACAGCAGAGAACCAGGCAGGCGTGTAGAGCTGACATTCTAGTGGGAGAGGAAGACACTAAATACATGAGTACTCTGATGCTGACAGCCTATCCAAGAAGAATAAAGTGAGGGAAGGGAGAACGGGGTGGGGTGGGGGTGCTGGGGTGGAAACAGAGTTGCAAGCTTAAGTCGTTGGGGGTGTGGTCAAGACATTTGAGTGGACCTGGCCATCTGGTGGGTGACTATTTGTAGCAGGTGCAAAGGCCCTGGGGTTAGAACAGCGAGGAAGTTAGTGGAGCTGGAGGAGAGTGAGAGTGGTGTGAGGTGAGGGCAGAGGGGCGAGGGGTGGGACAGCAGGTTATGCAGGGCCTCCTGGCAAGGAATTGGACTTTTATTCAGAGGAAATGGGTGTGTGGGGGGGTGGTCTCTGGAGGATTCTGAGTGGGGCAGTGGTGGGATCTGACAGGTTTTCCCAGTTTCCCTCAGGCTGCTGTGTTGGCGGCGGGGGGCTGGGGAGAGACGATGTCAGAGGTGGGAAGACCAGTGAAGAGGCTGCAGGAGTGAAGGCGCTGGGTGTGCGGTGGGAGGAGAAAGAAGAGCTGTGGCGACCCCAGGCCTGTGGTTGTGCATGACTAATGACGGAGGAATCCACGAAGTGGCGTCCATGCCAGGCCTGCCCTCTCCAGGCTCACGCCCTTAATTCCTCTGTCCTTTCCTGGTGGACATGACCGAGGCCCCCGCCCTCCAGGGTCTGGCCGAGGCAGCTGGCAGTCGCCTGGGCCTGAAAGGGCTGCTTGCATCCTGGCCCCGTCTCTCCCTGGAGGCAGGGTCAGGCCCGCAGGAGAACCTCACATTCCATAGTGTTCTCTGTGCTTCCAAAGAGCTTACTATCCTTTCATCATTTGACCTTCAAAATAGACGCAAGTACTGTTTTCCATCACGTGTGTTAGAGAACTGAGACCCTCAGGGACCCGGCCGCGCTCTCGCTGGCAGGTGGCAGAGCCGAGGT